AGGTTTAAAAAACAATTCATTTGATTTCATACAGTTCATTTTGCTGATGATGTACGCAAAACACACCACAAACGTTAGAGGCTCCTATGATTTTTGAGAGGAAGGCGTGCTGTTTACAGAGTTGTCATGACGACACCAATGTGACGATGCCTCGCTGGGACGGAAATGTCTGTCAGCCTGACTGTGTCGGCCGTGCAGCTACCATGGCAGCCTGTCAAGCCATTCATGTGCACCGCTACTTGAAACGTTCCCAAGTCGAGGGAGAAGTAGAGAGCTGGAGGGTGGTGTGTTCGTGAGTCAGAAAGGGGGGGTGGGGGGTGCTGATGCAGTATTTAAACACGCTATTAGCAATCAAAAACATCCCAAGAGTTCAAGCTGATGATCGGTGTTTCTATTTGTTTTTTTGGTTTTTTTTTTACCAAATAAAGGAGACTGAAAGACTGACATAACACTTTCTGCATCAATGTACAGTGTGTCCACACAGTAAAAAAAAACAACAACATGCGGGGCATTATATAGGTTACCTTTCCTAAAACTATTTCAATCTATTCCCACAAGCATGACTTTAGTCCCAGGCTTAATTAAAATGCTTAATTATCCTCTCTGTGAGACAACCTAACATAGGAAGGCCTGTAACAATTTTTGGGTTCTTATTGAAGCTGTCACCTCTGGGTACAGGGAGCTGTTTTAAACGCTGATATAATTAAACATGCCGAATTAAATTCCAAACCACAGCTTGATGAGGTAATTTGAGAACTCAAGGTGTCAGAGAGGGACAGGAAGGGACGGGAAAGTGGCAACCGGATTAGGCCCCTGTAGGACACTTTGTCCCAGTGGGACGTGGCACAGCCGCTGCCATCTGCAAGGGATACACAGGCGGAAGCAGGCTGGGTGACAAAGCTCTGGGCAGGAGGTAGGGCGAGGGAAACAAAGTGAAGTATTTTTGAAGTTTGAAAGTCAAATAAGTAAGTAGTGTTACTACTAATGTTTGAAATATGTAATTAAATATTTTGATGAGAAACACAGGAACACCCTGGTGTTCTCATGCTGTTATGCTGCACTTCTATCCTAAAGTTAAGCCGATACGAGCAATTGATTCGTTTTACAGAAACAAAGATGATAATCAATGAATACCAGTTCTTCAAGCAACAGTTTCCAACACCCAGTAATCATATGATCTCGAATGTGATCTTTACATTGAAAAAAATAAAAGGTTAATTCATACTGTTAGAACTTGATTTGTTAGACAAACGTCTTCTGTGTGTACATTTTCATCCTTTTCTGGGTTTTAAGTGAAACACAAGTTCTTATTTACTGACAGTTAGTATTAAACAAAAGCTTTTTTACACTAGTTCCCTAAAACCTGTTTGAATTTAACCTGGTGCATATGGACGCATACTTCTTAATAGCAATGAACTGGTCTGCATTGGTGCATCATATCTTTATTCTCTTCTCCCTCCTGCCCCCCCCCCTCTTTCTTAAATAGATAACTATCATATCTGATATCATATCTCACAGTACAATAATATTGAATGGGTTGCATTGTTGTATTTTGTCATGTTTCTCAGGTCTTTGTCTGAATTTCTACGAACATTATTGCTAAGGATTGTCTTATTGCATTGGAGTCACACTGGATTAAATATGTACACTTGGGTTTTAAGGGGTATTTATTATTTTCTTCTTTTTTTTTGGGTTGTATGGAAGCCCCAAACGCAATTTCATTGTTCTTGACAATGACAATAAATAAATAAATACTAAAAATACTAAATACTAATAACTACTCCACCTGACTGAGGTAATGCTGTAAAATACAGCATCTTCATTGTATCAATGTTAACTTTACTTCACTGGTCAATCTGGATATTTCATCTCTCTAATATATGCCAAATTTTTCAAGTCCTTCATGGTTACAAGGTTCTGCTCATGTCAGAGACACAAATATGCATCATCTCCACATTACTGCGGATTATGCATCTATAGCTACCACTGTGTGTGCCCTGAAGACTTTCATGACCCAGTCTAATAAAATATATAGTCTCTTTGTTTAGAGGGGCTTTGTGAGAGATGCATATGTAAAGGTACTGTTTTTAGGCTGATGGCGAAAGAGGAAAGTATATGCTATATATGTGTATATGAACCAGTTTTCTGGTTCCTGAAATATTCATAGTCTACTGACTGTGGGGCCGTTAAGATTGCAGAAATATATATAAAAATATATAGAAATAAATATATAAAAAAGTCTTTTAAAATGTTATTCCTTATTTATTCACATATAACCAAACTTCCTAGCCTTCCTACTTAGGTAACCTGAACCCTGAACTGCTAATGTATGCATTATTCCTATATCCCTAAGTGCTGTTATGTAACCATCTCTGTGTTTTTCATTGACTTTGTGAATCAATAATTCTGGCTTCGTCAATCATATCCGCTCACACTGCAGACACAAAAAAAGCTTGCTGCATCGGATGCAGCCTGTGGAACAGTACAGAGTATAATCGGTGATGACAAATGGCTTGTGGCAAGGATGCACTAATAAAATAAGTAAACAGGGGGATGGGGGGACAAAAGAGAGAAAGGGAGATAATCAGCTGAGGCTGGACGGGAAAGCCTTCTGCAGTTTCTCTACACTGCGGAGCCCCCTGTAGTAAACCTGGGAGTCCACTGTGGCCTTGCCTGCTGGTGCAGTGGTCTATTTCTGACTCTGCAGCTGGGTCCAAGATGCTGCACCTATTCCTTACAAAATCTTGTCTCTTGACATTTCATGCTTTTGTTTTCAATGCAGGGGGTTGATCACATCTGACACCTCTAATGGCTCTGGAGGACCAGCTGGACAATCAGAAGTTCACACAGAGGCACAGTCTTTTCCTTCTCTCTCTCTAACACCATGCATATACTGTGCTAAATTAAACGTTCTCTGTACAGAGGCCTGGGAGCTACAATTTTCAAGTCAGCCTAAAATAGCCCAGAGAGCTCAGCACTGGATATTAACTGCCCGAAGCTTTGGATTCTATGTATGCACATGAGGATCTAAAGCATCTATGCAAATGCTTTGCTAGGTGTGAGTATCTAAATATCCCTGCTGTTTTGACTCTGTGTATGACAGCAGTGTATACGGACACAGCACATACATGCAGATAGCTGAGGTAGTGACAGAGCTCTGTTCCACAGCCGCAGAGGGGAATACAAATCCAAGTCGTGGATGGAACGACTCCTCAATGCCACTTGCTGCCTTAGCATGACGCGAAGCAGGGGAAGGACATGCATTCGCCATCTACGATCAGTAATGTCATTATAGACAGAGGAGCTAAACAACTAACTAGACATGTTTGGGGCGAAGCAAAACACACACGTTTCTGTATGTGAGTCTGCACACTCACAGTCTGTCCACCTATCCTGCAGCAACAACTGGCTTGTGCCACGTGCAGTGAGTAAGCTCCAGCTCTAGCTTGCTGTCAGTGCCTTGTTGCTACAGCTGCTGTTGGCTGTATGTGCACATCTGCGTGCGAGTAAATGTGTGTGTGTGTGTTTGTGAGCAGATTTAAGTCAGGCCAAATGTCATACCAAGAGCAAACATCCATACACTGCGGACACCGTCAAATCCTGAGCAATCTCCCTCCTTCCCCCTTCCCTTTCTCACACACACACAAACATGTGCGCACATATCCTGTCTCTCTTCTTCTTCCCTATTCCATGTCTTCTGATTAGTAAGTAATCAACAAACCCCACACTGGATTTCTTTAATACATTGATGAGTGCAGATATGTCCTCATCCCACTGATATTAATAAGAACTGCATGTCCAGTGTCAGCTCCTGATTTATAACCTTAATAACAAAATGAAGTGATAGTGGTATGGAATGACCTGCAGGTCGCACTGTTTTGCCTACAAAGCAGATTGCTCCTTGAAGGATGGAGAATAGTGTCATAAATACTGACAGTAGTGAGTTTAGTGCTCAATCATCTCAGTGATAAATGTGAAACAGGCAACAGATCATAAAGACATCAATAGCATGTGCAGAAAAGAGCAGAAAAGAGATGAAAAAGAGAAGAGACGCAAGAAAACAGAGATAATGAAAGAGAGACATTAGGAAAAAAGAAGAAGACGTCCTGCAGGAAAGAGAAGAAGTCCTCATGAAAGTGAGAAGGAAGGAAGGAAGGAAGGAAGGAAGGAAGGAAGGAAGGAAGTGGGACGCACGTTGCCGAAACTGCTCCCCCTCCAGTTTTTTTTCTTCCTGCAGTGTGCCGTAATTCGTCTCTAAAAATATCAAGCAAGAGGAGGAGGAGGAGCATAAACAAACACAGGCGGAGGAGAGGATAAAAAGATGGACGATAGAAGAGTGCACGGGGAGCGCACAGTGCAGCAAGACAGGCTAGAAAAGAAAGTGAGAGTAGAATCACTTGCTGGTGCTGAATCTGTGTGTCTATGTGTGATAAGGAAGGAGCAGGAAAACAGGCAGGGGGGAAGGCGAGAGCGAAAGCCGCGGAGAGACTGAGGGAGCATGTGCATGCTCTTTTCCAGGCAGCCACGTGAGTGTCTCTCCTCAGCTGCTCCTTTCACACTGAGCCAGCCAGAGGGGAGAAGAGCAGGGTCGCTATAGTCACAGCGGGAAAAACACGCTACACCACACTGGCCCCACCGGATGCACACGCTCTGGTCACAGCTTACTGGTCCTGATCTAGCCCTCATTACATGCCAGTTTCTAGCGATTTACATAAGGGTGTAGAAATACACAGGTGTTAGACAGACGGATATGTGCTCGATTTTATAAGCACAGCTAAATAAACATCCATCAAGCCTCATTAAAGAGAATGTCATCTTAGGATGACATATGTTATTAAAGCCACAGAGGACAAAATACCAGAAAATAGCCCAGACATCTAGATGCTGGACTGGGTTGTGCTTTGCATTCATGACAGCCTCACGGCTATTTGGGGGAGGAAATAACGGTAACATTTCAAACACACACATTCGGAGTGCCACATCTCCTTGTCTTTTCTTACCAGGCGAGCTTGAAGCCTTTCATTAGTACAGCGAGGAGTGTCTGATATCCATAGCGTGTTGTGGGCACTGGGCTGCCCGTTCACACCGCCGCATGCTGACTGACAGCCTGCCAGTGCCTCACCTCCCATACACAGACCAGGAGAGATGCACAGGGAGAAGAAGGGAAGAGAGACACGCACAGGCTGACGGATGGTCGGGAACCGAAGTCTGGATGGATGATCGTCTCGGCTTTCTCCAACCTCTCTGCTACATTCCTTCGCTCGGATCAAGATGCCGCAGTGCTGAGCACTTGTGCCAGAAATTCACACCTCCCTGGGGTTCCTCATTTTTCCCAAAAGAGAAGGAGGTGACCTGCACTGCAACATTCGCAAAGCAAGCTGCAGCATGCAGCAGAAGCACGAGGGCTAGTGATTGCAAATAAAAGCCAACATGGCTAGTTGCTGCTCCTTTCTTTAAAGCCTGGTCGGCTTTCAATCAGGCTCGCACACTGTCGCTTCAAGCTTCTGTTCGCTCACTCTAACTCTCTCTGCCTCAGCCTCCGCTGCGGATGAAAGCTGCACTTGCTGTGCTCACTATGAGCAGGCGCAGGATCTCTACCCTCCCTCCCCCTCCCTCCTGTTCTCTCTGTCCTTTTCCCTAGATGGCTCTCTTTCTCTATTTCTCTCCAAGATAAGCATAACTAGCCCAGCAGAGAGGGCTAGAGCAGGGTGGTAGGCTCCTGCTATAACATCCTCTTTGCATTTACCCCTGTGCTCAACTCCGACTATACAAGAACAGCATTATTTGAGGGAACCTGCTGCAATTCTTTCCTCTCGTACTCGTCTCCACCCCTGATTTGTGTCAGCGGCTAACCCTGTTAATCTCTTAATGCATTGAGTGTAGTGGGGTACTTGTGTTTATAGCTATGTGGCCTGCACACATGATGAATCCAATGGCCTTCATGGTAACTCAGTTTGCTTAGTTGGCTAGTAAGTGTTTTATAACTGCAGTAACTTGACTTTAAATCAAACTGCCCTATTTGGTGGGGGGATAGTTCTGGGTGCTGGGTTCATAAGCCTGTCAGCAATAACTGCCCAGTCAACAAATAATGGGAGCTATCCAACCTAGCCAGTGAGTGTATTATGCTGTTATTCTAGTTTTCCAAAAGATTTGTAGTTTTATTTTTGAGAGAAGTGCAGTGTTTGACATTTATTATACCTACACGTGGCTTTTTTAGCAGCAGCTTCTGCTAAGCTAAAGCAACAAACCACTCAAAAAACTAGAGTATATTTTAGTTATGGGATTATGATTATGATTCCATTTGCTCATTATTTTTCAGGCACTGGTGCGTGGTAGTAGTAAAATCAAAAGCTTTTAATTAAATTACCAACAAACGGTGGGGACATTTTGAGGATATTTGAGAAAAAGGGCGATTGGTCCCCTTCAGAATCATATGTTATTATTTCCGCCCCGTTAGGCTTAGCGCATGAACATCATAACACTGAGCTCAGTGAGGTCAGTCATTTTAATCTTAAACTATATCAGTGAGCAGCAGGTTGACGATCTATAAATGATAACTCAACTTTCTGAAGAAAATATCCAGAAATGTGGAGTGACAAATCTGTCTCGCTCATCTTTGAACTACAGTCTGTGCCTCGCAACCATTGAATGGCTGTAAAATATAGCAAAGGCCACTAATACAAAAAAAGGACACATAAACGAATGGCTGAGTATTTCGTGCTTTCAAGTTTGCGGTCCACTGAACACAGAAGTAGCCGCTTATCTCTTCCCTGGATCACTTGAGGCCACAGGGTTCAGAGAGCAGCTGATCATTCACTTTAACAGAAGCTGTCATCAAAAACTATGACTGACTTTAGCACCGACGCTGGGTGAAGGTGCAGCCCATTCTTCCTGTTTAATCTTCTTAAAGCACTGCACACGAATTACACCTCATTAGGGGTGACTAATACCATAACAGATGCAACACACACATGCTCTAAAGATCTAGAATAACAATTCTAATAATTTCCTCAATTATTAATAAAGTATTCTGATTCTGATTCGAATGTAGACCTCTTATTTTACTGAAACGTGTTTGTTTTGGAGAGATGTCTTTTTCTGTTGTTTGAATACATTTGTTTTATTATCACAACCTATGGTTAAACTGTGTAAGCAGTTTTATTAAAGCACAGTTTCGTTATAATAAGTTATTATTGAACTCAGCCTGAGCCACTGACCTTCAATCACTCACTTTGATTTCTAAAATGTAGATGTTGCCACGTGAGTGAGCACATGCCTGACCAATAAATAAAATGATAGCACGCAGATAATACAGATAAAATTGAGTACTTCAGTCTGTGAATAACATTAATATGCTCCAGTCACAGCCAGTAGGCCAAAGTTAAAGACAGTTCTAAGCCAACACCTCGCTACACACATAGAAAACTCCTGTGTTGCTATAATGCTGCATTAACGCCACCGAGATTTCTGATTAAAGTATGAGCCGTGGCAGCGGAGTATAACAACTCATCTATTTATGGCAATGCAATCATGCTCTGAACTGTAACAAATCAGAAGTTATATGTAGGAGAGAGGGAACAACATCATAATCTACTCAGATGTGAGTCTAGAACTTGTATCTCTATATCGAGTATTTGGGAACGCATATTGTGTTAAATCAGTTAACCTTCACCGCTTCTAATATTTAACACGTTACTTAGCAGGTATCTGTGTCTACATCATGCACCCATACACCGTCTCTGGATGGAGATTGCTAACTGGTGGATTACTGTGAGTGTATGTGGTTGCTAATGCACACATTAAGAAGTGCTGAATAATGTAAGCATGCAAGATTTTTGAAAATCTATATTTTTTTGCGGTTTTGTGAATGATACTGAGCTGCTATACATTATTTTACAGAAGTCTGGCAAATAATTTCTAATGTCTATAATATGTCAGCAGCATAAATTCATCTTTGCACATTTGAGCATGTCTTATCTCAGAGGATTGCAAATTGTGCTCCATGACTATAAGAGGGAATAGACAGCAGCTGCTCACTCTCAAAAGGCCCCCAGACCCCACTGTGATTACTTTTATCATGAAAAACTCTCACGGTGACAACGCTCAGTGAGTGCAACTTTCATCGCTTCACCAGGAGTGGGCAAGAGCAGACAGATGGACAGCCTCTTTCTCTACTGTTAGCCAGCATTTGCAGCTAATGTGAATGCAATAGGACTGTGGAGAAAGGGGCAAAAAGTGAGCAAAGGAAAAGAGGGAAGGAAGTGAGGTGAGAGCACTCTAATCGCTCTCCCAGGATAAAGCTGTGAGAGCTTGAACTTCATTCAAATAAAAAGACTCATCTCACACAGTGGCCATATGGTGCACACCTTTTTTTAGACTGCTAAAAAAAACCCAGGGAACTAAATAAATAAAAGAATAAAAATAATGAAAAAAATTATGATGTGAATATGTTCCATGTAAGATTAGTGGCGGTCATGATTTCTGGAAAATTCCAGGGAGTCTTTCACAGATTAGGGAGTGAGATGTCACCTGCCAAGGCTTTCAGTCTTTAATGAAAGCAGAACCCAGCTATTGTAAAGCAACTGCAACACGGAGCATGCATTGTTCATTTCTGTCACTATCACCAGATGGGTCTCTGTGACATTTTACTAGTTCTGCTGCCTTTGTAAACTTCATTGATTTTTCTACATCACAGGTTTCTTCGTGTGTATCTGTAGTTTGAATCTTGACAGGGCTTGAGCTCAGACACAGGAGACACGGGGTGCTGAAAGGACAGCTCCTCTGGTGAAGACTCAAACAGTCACTGACTGTTTGAGTCTCACCGACGCCACCTGCTGGTCACTGAGTAGCTGAGTCTTCTGCAGAAAAATATTTGTTATGTTCAGATAAAGTGTTATTATAAAAGTATTCAATATGGGATCAGGAAAAATGACTTATTGTCAGGATAAACTCTAAAATAAACTTTAAATGTTAAATAAATAATGTGTTCAACATTTCCTTTTTTCACCCAAAGACATAAAATTTTATGTTTATTTACACTAATACAGTATTTTATTGAATAGGCGTTACGGATAGTAGGTCCTTGTAAGTCTGCAAAACACTGGTCATGTGATTTCTCAGCTTCGTTTTTAGCATTCCTTGAACCATAATCTGATCCAGAGATTTTTCATTTATATCTAAGAATAGCATTGGCAGATAATCTGCATTAATCCCTCTACACTGCCTTGTGGGATTGGATGGTGTGGTGAGTGTGACTCACTCATTCTGCCCGCAGGGCATTTCTTACTCTGAAGCTGAGAATGGATTACTCTCGCACTGGTTTCTGTCAATATGGATGACCCTCCCACGTTCATCTTTACTCTGTGACCACAGAGGGGGAATTGGTGGTCACGTGACCAGCTGACAGTTTTGTTTATCGATTAACTGACCATGTTGGATAATCTGAGTTCCCAAGGTCACAGCGTGGGGAGAGAGAGCACACTTTTACAGCCCGCAAACACAGGCGTACATCGTATATGCACGTGGGTACACATCAACAATAGCATTTCTTTGTAGTTTGCTGTTTGAAGGAAGAAGAAAAAAGACAAACAGATACAAACATTACATTTGGAATAAGATGAAAACCAAATCAGTGAAAAATAGAGATTAAAAAACGTCAGTATGTGAACTCAAACATTACTAAACGTTCATGATTATAATGTGAAGAGGAATGAATAAAACCCTTAAGTCATATGAGCGATGTTGAGATGAGATGATGACACAGCGATGCAAGCTGACGTGCACGACTAACAGAAGCAACAGATAAGCCGGGGACACAGCCAACGTCTCACAGTAAGAATAAGTCTGAACAGATGCAAACATCGGACAACAGCACACAACAAACATCAGCTCAGGGTGGCTTAGTGAAATTTAATATTCTGTTGAAAACACACAAGCAGCAGGCATCGCACCGAGGAGGACAAAAGAGACAATATGCAGACGGCCAACACTGACATAAAAATAAAAGTAGTGTAAGGAAAACCAGACTGATCCAATGGTAAAATATGTTTATGTTTAATGGCAAGAATCAAGCAACACTGCAAAGGGACAGTCACGTTCAATATCAGGTTGACCCACAAAGTGATAAAGTAAAGTACAGATGGCCTTCTGCCTGCTTGGCACGTGTGCCATGAATAAAAGAACAAAGTACTGCACGTGCTGACATTAAAGCACTCTTTAAACCCCCCCCCAAAAACAGCCTTCCACTTCCTGTTTCTGCTGAAACAAGCAAGATGGAAATGGGTCGATGTTTCTTTTAAAACAAACCTGCAACGCACACATCCATAATTACTAAACAAAGAAGAGAAAAGGAGGAGAACGGGATTTTGGGATTAAAAACCTAAACAACAACGTGGGTGTAGGCTTGAGGATTAGTAAGTAGACAACACATTATAAACAGTAACATGGTAGCTGGAGTCTGGTAGAGTTGTAGTTCTTTTTCTTTTATGATCTAAATCTGGATTTTATCCATAATTTCATTTCAAATCATTTCACTGTTCTTCA